TTGGTGTGGATCATACCTACAGAAACGAAAGTCAGTAGTGGTAGTGAATGGCTACACGTCGGATCCTTTCGATGCCTCTTCTGGAGTCCCACAGGGATCTATTCTCGGCCCAATTTTCTTCAACATCTTTATTAATGATATTCATCTTTGCTTTAAAAATTCTAACATTTACTTGTTTGCCGATGACCTCAAGATTCTGAGGCAAATTGAGGACATAAGTGATACTAAACTACTACAGGAGGATTTGGATAGTCTGGTTGAATGGTGCGAGGTAAACGGCATGTCTCTAAACGCGAAAAAATGTTTTGTAATTAATTTTACCCGTAACAAAACGTCCATCGCTAGAGATTATACTATAGGACCTGACAAACTTATGGAATTGAATTGTATTCGTGACCTGGGAGTGACTCTTGATAATAAACTGCGATTTAATATTCATATAGATAACATTGTAAATAAGAGTTATAAATTACTTGGATTTGTGTTGCGAAACTGTAAAGAGTTCAAGAAGCCACAAACTAAAATAGTTTTATACNCAAGCAGGAAAACTTAACCAATATGGTATTGCAGCTAGCTAAAGTTATTAAATGCCCTGTAAATGATAGCGATATACACTATTGTTCTAGAGTAGCGAAACTGAATGCGAATAGCACTAGACCGAGGTCTATACTATTGAAATTGAGAAGCCCTCGCCTCAGAGACAATTTCTTGGCAGCAACTTCTTTATTCAATAAAAAGAATTCCACCGAGAAGCTGAATACGAGTCACCTGGGGTTAGGCGGGGAGAAAAAGCATCCTGTCTTTGTGGCCGAACACTTGACTCCAGAGAATAAGGAACTTCATGCTGCGGCTCGTCGTAAATCTAAGGATTTAAATTATAAATTTGTTTGGGTACGAGACGGCAAGGTTTTTGTAAGAAAGAGTGAAGAGACAAATTATATACATATACGTAATATTGATGCTCTAGAAAAGATGACCTAATTTGTTAACTTATTACTATTAGTTTTTGTTTGGCCGCGTGTTGGATTGTTTTTGTTTTTGTTAAGTTCGCTGATTTAAAGATATATTATCAAAATGTCAGAGGTTTAAGGACAAAGACAGTGGATTTGTTTAATAATGTAGTATGTAACAATTTCGATTTGGTTGTTTTTACTGAAACCTGGCTTAATTCAAGTGTTCATGATTCGGAGCTCTTTGATAATCGATATGTTGTTTATAGAAGGGATCGGGAAAGTAGTGGTTTTCATTCTCATAAGGATGGTGGTGGTGTTCTCATTGCAGTCTCCGTGAAACTTAAGTCTTCAAGACTAAATAAATTGGAATCTAGCTGTGAAGATCTTTGGATATCTTTAGATGTTGCGAGAGGTGGAGATGGTTTTAAGAAGCTTTTTATTTGTTGTGTATATTTACCTCCGCCAATCCAGGGTCACATATTAAATCATTATTTTGAAAATGCTAGCCGTATCATGATAGCCAATCAAGGAGTAGGTGACACGCTTATAATGGGCGATTTTAATCTAAGCAGTGTTACATGGAGCCCAAGCGAGGACTCAACTATAATGAAGGGTTTCAGCAACGGAGGTAAATTCACTGATGATTTGCTCGAATTTATGGCCTTAAATGAGCTGGAGCAATATAATTGTGTTTTAAATGTGAAGGGTAAAATACTAGACCTGGTACTTTGTTCAATTGCCATTACGGAATTGGACCTAAATTCAGATCCTTTAACATCAGTGGATCCGTTGCATCCACCGCTTCAATTCATAGTCCCTAGTGCTGACCCTGTAACTCTTTTGCCGAATAGTGACGTAAAGTTCTGTTTCTTCAAGGCTGATTACGTTAAGATAGTTGCTGCGCTACAGAAGATATCATGGAACGACGTATTACCGGACGACCTTGGAGTTGATCTGATGTCGACCAAATTCCATGCCATCCTTCGCAATGTAATCGAGAAGCATGTCCCGAAGTCTAAACCACCAAACTATAAGTTCCCGCCCTGGTTCACGCCGAGCCTTATCAAATCATTAAAAGAAAAACACAAATGCAGACTAAAAGTGCGCAAGTATAACAAAAATCCACGTGATATTTTAGAGTTTGAGCTGTTAAGGCATAGATGCTACCAACTACAAAAATCTGCATACAATAAACACCTGAGTAACCTGGAACAGACATTAACTTCTAATCCTAAATTTCTATGGTCCTTTATCAAGCAAAAAAGGAAGGGTAAAAGTATGTACCCAGCGGAAATGTCTCTCGGGGATGTTGCGGCGACTGAGGGCAGGGAAATTTGCAATCTATTTGCTTCCCATTTTGAGTCTGTGTATAATCGAGATGCTCCCCGAGCTGCTAATGCCTCGACATCGGATCACTCTGGTAACGTCTGTCTCGCTTCTGTCGTCTTTACCAGGGATCAAGTTTATCGAGTTTTGAAGAGACTGGACTTGCATAAGGGAGCGGGTGAAGACGGACTGCCGTCGGTGTTTGTGGTAAGGTGTGCCGATGTTCTTGCATATCCATTATCACGCATATTCAACAAATCATTGAGTACCGGCACATTCCCATCGAATTGGAAGACATCATTGGTTCTACCTTTACATAAGTCTGGTCATCTGGGTCATGTTGATAACTACAGGCCAATTTCTATTCTTCCTACATTTGCCAAAGTGTTTGAATCGATGGTAAGCCCCTTGATTTCCTGGCATTTCCGCCAATTGGTTTCTCCGCATCAGCATGGCTTTGTGAAGGCAAGATCAACTTCCACCAACCTAGTAACCCTTGTAGAGGATTTGGTGAGATCTCTTGACCAGGGAAAGCCTGTGGATGTTATCTATACAGACTTCAGTAAGGCTTTCGATAAAGTCAATCACGATGTACTACTTCGAAAACTTTCCTTGATTGGTATTAGTGGAAACCTACTGAATTGGTGTGGATCATACCTACAGAAACGAAAGTCAGTAGTGGTAGTGAATGGCTACACGTCGGATCCTTTCGATGCCTCTTCTGGAGTCCCACAGGGATCTATTCTCGGCCCAATTTTCTTCAACATCTTTATTAATGATATTCATCTTTGCTTTAAAAATTCTAACATTTACTTGTTTGCCGATGACCTCAAGATTCTGAGGCAAATTGAGGACATAAGTGATACTAAACTACTACAGGAGGATTTGGATAGTCTGGTTGAATGGTGCGAGGTAAACGGCATGTCTCTAAACGCGAAAAAATGTTTTGTAATTAATTTTACCCGTAACAAAACGTCCATCGCTAGAGATTATACTATAGGACCTGACAAACTTATGGAATTGAATTGTATTCGTGACCTGGGAGTGACTCTTGATAATAAACTGCGATTTAATATTCATATAGATAACATTGTAAATAAGAGTTATAAATTACTTGGATTTGTGTTGCGAAACTGTAAAGAGTTCAAGAAGCCACAAACTAAAATAGTTTTATACAACGCACTCGTGCGAAGTGGTCTAGAATATTGTAGTGTAGTGTGGAATCCACATTACGACGTTTATATAAAAAAACTTGAGCGCATCCAAAAAAGGTTTTTATGGCATCTGGCATTCAGTGTCAACCTGGCAAAAAAATTACCCCACTATCAAGATAGATTACGTTACTTCAAGTTAAATACTCTTCAGGAACGCCGCTGTGTGCTTGATAATTCGTTTTTATACAAATTGGTCAACGGTGCTTTTGACTGCCCTAACCTGCTCTCAAAAGTTAATCTAAACGTTCCCTATAAGTTGCCTAGGATATCCCGATACAACTTGTTTGCGACCAGGAGCTCCAAATCAAATCTAGGTCTGTTTTCCCCTTTAAATAGAATGTTTAATCAATACAATGCCCTGTCTAGGTCCAATAATGTTAATGTTGATATTTTTTTCCTTAGTTTACGTAAATACAAGTCCACATGCTTGGACAAATCTCACCGATTTAAACAAGCATAGGGACTTCTTTACACCATATTAAATATTTTTAGTTTTTAACCCCTAATTGCTGTTGCTTTAGTCTCTAACGCATGATGTTTTCACCTATAATTAAGTTTGCATTTAACAAGTGTCATTTTTTATAGTTACTTTTGTGAAGCCTCAATGTAACCTTGTTGGTGTTCAAATAAATAAATAAATAAATAAATAAAAAGATTCTAAAGCCTGGTCCGTGAGCACGTAGAATTTTGTCCAATGACCCCAAGCAACCCGTCCTTATCGCTCGCGCGTAATTATGTTGCTGTCGCGCTCGCACACTCACTGCGGGCGCCCGTCGCACAGTCTCGTCACGTGCTCACGGACCAGGCTTTAGAACTCCAGATTTTGTGTAGCAGTTTCACGTCTGAAAAGAAGCGTTAGGACTAAAATGAGTATTTTTAAAGGTGCCTTGGAATGACTTATTCCTAATGCTTGTGACAATTTTCTATAATAACCGTCAGAAAGCTAGCCATTTTGTTGTGCAGGACGGTGCCTCAAGGGAAGGAAAGTACAAACAAAGTCCTGCATTTGTCTCTGGTAGCAGGAAGGCGCTGGATGCAGGCCGTTACCAACCGAGCGATGTGGACATCATTAGGCCTATGTTCAAGAGTGGACGTCCTGCGGCTGAAATGATGATGAAGATGATAAAATTTAGAGCAAGGCTGCTCAACCTTTTGAAGAGTCGGGCCAAACGGTGGATTCAGTCGTTAACGACGGGCCACCTACATTTTTGACAGCTAACTTCAGAGAGATCTTAAAGTTTGTACTGTGCTCGGCGGGATTTTTTATTTGGTTCGTTTTTTTTTTCAAACTGTACATGCGCGGGCCACTTAAAATTATTTTGGGGGCCACACTGTGGCCCGCGGGCCTGGAGTTGAGCAGCCTTGATTTAGAGGATGTATATGTGATAATGATGATAGTCTTACCTCCAGACATCTAGCAGCTCCGTCCATAGCTTCCATCTGGGCTAATCTGTCACCTAGCGCCTGACCAGCGCCCATTGCCACTTCGTAATGTCTGGAAAAGGAAATTCCTTACTTAACTTTACGTATGTGAGAAGTTTATAAGAAACGACAATTTTATGACCGGGGGTCAATGGGGGGACGGGTCCCCTAATTTCGTGAGTTGAGATTGTTGAGGATTTCGGGTGAAGCCTTTGGCCATATCATCACTTTCCATCAGGTGAAATACTTATTACGATACCTAAGATACAGCTCGCTGCAATTATTTCTATTTCTATTTATTTAAATTAACCAGCGTCTGCTGGTGGTGACTGAGTTTGTTGCGGCGCTTGTTCTCAGCACTTGCCAATTAATGTTGGTCTCGAAGCGCGGGTAGGGTGAAAAGATTATAAGACATAAGGATTTGATTTGTTAGTCTATACAAATAAAGAAATTTTGACTTTGTTAAATGATTCACCCTGAGTCCTAAAAGATAGACTGACGAAACTGCAGAGGTTTGGTAATAGAGTACTGAGTAAAGTCCTTTTGTCACTCTTTTGGTACAGATTTAGGCACGGCTTCGACCAAAGCAGTGAGAAGAGCTGTTTGAAAACTAATCAGACTTCATCTGAAGTTGGGCGGACAGGTGACGTGGAAATAACGCGACTATTCCTACCTCTCGTTACCGCTGCAACTCCTGTCTACAGATGTAAATCCTGACGTGGAAATAACGTCTAAAAATCTTATTGGTTAATCAAATCTCTCATATTCTCTGCTTCGGTGGAAACGGAGCTTTATGGATCAGCAAATACCTAAGAGCTTTCCCGATGTCGCATTTCCTCCGGTAGACATCGCCAGCTATGCGAACAGCCCTCGCATAGCAACCCTGGTCTCCTGCCACTGCCGCCAGCCTCAATGCCTCCTGGAATATTGAGAAAGATACATTCTAAAAATCTAAGTTGGGACATGATGACAGAACATTTTCCCAAACCTTTGACCAACCTAACAAGTCTTTAGTTTTGACCCCCATCACCTTAATCCAATATTTTGTGTTCCTCTTTTCCTAAAAAATCTACCTTTCAGAGTATAAATAAATGTACCTACCTGGATGAGAGACATTTATTCAATAAAGTCTTCAAGTGCCGAATATGCTGCTGACAGTAGAAGACCATCCTTATTCTAGCTATTTTGTGACATAATATTTATACTGATTGAGCTCCAGCTCATTGAACTTACCAAGATTTTTATAAGATGTGGTAGAGAAGAGAAGGAGCATACTATACGTGAGACTTGGGAATGTAATAAAGCTGAGGACTGAGGACTTTTCCTAAGATTACCCATGAATAACGTATGATACATGAACCAGTCTGTTGTGTACTATGAAACTGACTCATGGGCCCTACCAAGAACAGAATGGAAACGTTAAAAAAATGAACTCACATTGCAATAGTCGTGTGCGTCTCCCAGCTCCCCTCTAGCCCTCAAAGCGGCGGCCATTTGCAGCAACGCAGTGCGGTGGTGACGCGTGTTCAGATCGGCCGACCGCGGCCCGCGACCGAGGTCTAGTAACACCACCTTCACACCCAGAGGTTCCGGGTTCCATTCCCAGTGGAAGCAAACTTTTCTGCTCGTTTTAATTTTGGAAGGTCTGGCTAGCTACCACCATGTTACACAGCGTTGTTGTTTCAGCAGTCGAAGGTAAGGTAGTCAGTTCCTGTGTGTTTATGGATTCCAGGTGAAGCTCGCTTTGACCTTGATTTGACTTTATGCCAAGTTCTATCCTATCAGGTGAGGTGCACAGACTAACGCCTGTATTCACAAACGATGCTTGCTTAAGTGAAGCAGCAAATCGAACGCACAGCGTTGAATAGAGCTCTGTGATTGGTTCGCGTGTGACCCTGTGCGTCCCCGCGCACTGTGAAACTTCATAGTAATGTTTGTGAATACGGGCGTAAGAGCTTCTTCGTTGTAGGTATAATGGTTCTACGACCTAGATATGACTACGGATCCCAACTTTTTTCGGACGTCTTTTGGTGGAAACAATATTGTTAAATACAGATTAGGCAAGAAACTCACATTGCAATAGTCGTGTGCGTCTCCCAGCTCCCCCCTAGCCCTCAAAGCGGCGGCCATTTGCAGCAACGCAGTGCGGTGGTGACGCGTGTTCAGGTCGGCCGACCGCGGCCCGCGACCGAGATCGCACGCGCGTGCAGCGCACGCGACCGCGCGCTCGGCGTCGCGCAAACGGCGCCATAGCTCTGAAAGGCCGACGTACACCTGGAAGAAAGGATTGAAAATCATCATCAGGTCATCATGAGCATCAGCAGGAGGATCACCCTGTCTAATTTGCTTGCTAGAGGCTTTGCAAATGGAGGATTAGACTACACAGTTCAGGGTTCAGGGATATTAGCTTAACTTGTCTAAGGGCTTAGATATTAAGATTGAATTCGCCACTCTGAGTTCATCGCAGCTCTGAGTGAGAGGCTGAACCTGATACATCAACCATCAGACATCAGGTATCCACAAACCCAATGGTTTAGTATTGGGTTTTTAAGAATGCCTCCTACGTCGATTGTCAATTTGCCACTATAGCACTTATTATTATTCTGTGCTACAGCTGCCTGTGAGTGGCCGACTTAAATCTAGAGGAAAATGATTGAAAATCATCATCATCAGGTCATTAAGTCTCTACTGCAGGAGCACAACTTTCTCTAATTTACCAGAGACAAATTGAGGGTTTAGCATCATCATCATCTCAGCCATAGGACGTCCACTGCTGAACATGGGCCTCCCCCAATGCTTTCCATGTTGCCCGGTTGGTAGTGGTCTGCGTCCAACGCCTTCCTGCTACGTTCATGATATCGTCAGTCCACCTTGTGCACGTCCTGGGTTTAGCATACACTCCCCAGATTCCCACGCTATCCAGATGACTTAGGTAGGTAGGTCTGACTTTTCTTTAGTCGCCTCTTACGACATCCACAGTAAGAATGGGACAGAGTCTTTCAGAGACTCATCTGCTGGTGAACTTCACCTGGAGAAGAAGAGTGTTGTCCTGCTGCGTCTGGGCCACCGACAGAGCCTTCTGGAAGCCGTCCATCGCCTTGGAGAAGGAGCCCAACTCCAGGCTCACACTGGCCACAGTGAGACGCACGAAGCCCGCGATGTTCTATAGAGAGTAGATTGTTCTGTTCTGCTGTATGAGTATGTGCGATTGATAGAAACATCTGGAGTCTTCTTTAAGGACCTCCACTCGAGACTCGCCTTAATTTAAGATCTCAGAAATATTTATCCTGATGGTGACTTTACCTGGAGTAGAAGAATCTGCTGTGTTTGTGCCATTGATGAATCCTTTTAGAAACTGTCCATGATTTTAGAATCTTCGAGATAGATCCCAGGCACAAAAGCATGCTGATGGACCTTTGTATACTTTGTTACTGACAAGTTTACGAAGTATTCCATGATCATTGTACCTATAGCATCAGCTTACTAGATACTTTACCTGAAGTAGAAAAAAGTTGTCCTGCTGCGTCTGACCCCTCAATAGAAACTTCTGGAGTAGATGACTCAAACTTTGGATGATTTAAGCCATCAAATCTCAAAAATATCCATATTTTCTTAACCTGTAGTAGAAGTGTGTTGTCCTGCTGCGTCTGGGCCACCGAAAGAGCCTTCTGGAAGCCGTCCATCGCCTTCGAGAAGGAGCCCAACTCCAGGCTGACACTGGCTACTGTCAGATGCACGAAGCCCGCGATGTTACCGCCACCGCAGTCGTTGTAGAGCGCGTGGCGGGCGTAGGATAGTGCTCTGGGAAGAAAATGGATAGTTATTTTATTATATCAACCCTCTAGACAAAGTAACTAAAGTGAAAGATTCACTGGCCTTTTTAAATATAGAGGAAGAGATGACATTTATCAACGATAGCAGCCCGACGCGAAGTACCGTATATTTGTGGTGTCAAGCCCCAGAAGGGGGAGAATTGACTATGAGAAGGGACATGGATCAGAGAAATTTGTAGGGAGTCAAGCAAAGGGGAAAGGAGCCCAGAGCAAGTACCCGCGCGCTCTCCCGAGATTCGGTTCGTACGCCGTGAGGCAGGAAGAACCATGGGTGGTGGTGGGATTCGGCCTTTTTAAATAAATAAATAAATGTACTTGCCATAAGCCTAGCTACTTCCAGTGACAGTGTGAAGTGACAATTTTGGGACACCCTGTATTACTTGGCTCCGTGAAGCGATTTGGAAAAAAACTGATACTGCTTGTCCAGGGCAGGGTCTACTGTAGGAGCAAGACCGTCTAATAATTTACCAGAGATGAGAAAAAAGAGGATTTTATCTACACTGACCCTACTAACTGACCAGCGTACTGGTCAGTCGAGTAAATGGAGTCCAGTCCTATTTTTATTTATTTGATGACCCGTGACGGGTGTCATGGCTGTATATTAAACGTTAAATTAAATAAACACAACAAACTATAAAACGCTCTTGACCACGCGGCTGAACCATTTAAGAACCTAGTAAGGGACACTTTTTCAGATTTTCGTTTTTTGTCACAAATCACCTTAGAATTAAGGTCTCCACAGGATGTGAAGACAGAAATCGCTCTATTACACTTAACACCGGAGAAACGCGTTGCTAAAAACCTAGTAAGTCCAATTCAAATCTGCAAAAACCATTATCAAAACCTAGCAAGTTACAATGACCATTTAAAACCTAGTAAGTGCATGGACTTACTAGGTTTCAAAATGGTCAATGTGACTTACTAGAGGTAAAATGCTACTGTAATTTAAATATTATTTCGAGTTCTGTTGGCTGACACTCGATAGCCATATCAAAATCTGGGGACTACATGAGTACTGATTCATATTCGATTTTGATTTTGATTTTTACGAGGCACTTTTGTCAAAAAAATAATTTTTAGTGTTAGTAAAGAGCATAAAACTTGCAATTTTTAACTAAATATATTCTTTTATTCCATAAAGTATACTTTAGTAACTAATCTTTAATATAAACATCGGAAGTTATCCAAACCTTTAAGCATCTTAGCAGGGCAAATGAAAATGCGATTTTTCGCTCTCCTGTAAAATTTGCTCCGCTGCACTTACTAGGTTCTTAAATGGTTCAGCCGCACGGTCTTGACCTAATGAAGCGTTCGTATGTAGGTACTGTAAACTTAAATGTACAAACCATTTTATTCAGATTCATAAGAAGAAAAAGAGACAGATGAATGCCAACTTTAACTACAGATATTTAAAATCTAGATTCACCTGTCAAGTCCTCCCAGGGTCTGTTGCGCGCGAGCAAGGTTCAAGTACGCTTCCGCGCGCATTGGCGCCGAGTCTAATTCCTCTGAGATGCCCAGCTGGCGTGTGGCGAACTCTATCGATTCTCTGTGAAAGATTAAATAAATAACATCTTTTTTAGCATTCGAAGGAACCCAAGACATGCCACAAAACTTTTTTAACAAGAACCTCAATACCTAACTTTTTAAAATCGGTTCCATGACTTCCATCGAGCTGATGCGTCTTTCGTTACGTTTGCCGAGACAGTCTTCACACGCAAAATCTACGTACTGAGGTGGGATTATCTACTTACTCTTAAGCTTACTCAGACATTTGTAAGAACCTGCCATTTTTTTCTATACTATTTCGATAATTTCCTGCTGCTCTACTACGCAGAGCCTGCTTCGTACCTTTAAGTATTCATGCTGTACTTTGCTGCTTACCGAATCACATATTCCTAGATCAGGTTTCTTAAAAATCTATGCTTAAAGGCATATAAAAAGCAAAAGTCTCAATGGTCACGTTATCTAATTTCTTTTTACTAATAGGTTGGTAAAAAACCCATGAGTTTAAGTTTCCAAAAGCTTCTGGACACCTCACCTGTACTTCCCAAAGTCCATGTACGCCTGATACAAGTGTCCGAGCAGCGTGAACTTGTCCGTCCGGTGCCGGACGCCTCGCAGCGCGGACAGCCATATCTTGACGGCTAGCCGCTGCTCGTTCTGACTGTATAACCGGACGCCGCGCTCGATCTGAGGGTAGAAAGCTTTTATTAGAATGGCGCTGATTTTCCTGAAAATTACAAGCAAATTGGGACACCCTTGGGCCTGAGTCTAGTGTAGAAAAGTACGTCGATTGATTAGTCGTACCCTCGTTCGTTCGTTCGTTCGTTTCAGCCAAATGACGTCCACTGCTGGACAAAGGCCTCCTCCAAGGTTAGTCGTACCCTAACCTCTTTGAACTAGTGCGATACCCAAAATACTGGATATCCCAGTCATCATAATCATCAGGTCATTTAGTCTCCAATGCAGGAAAACGACTTTCCAATTTGCCGGAGGCGAATGGAGGATTTGGCCTACACTCCCCACGCTGGCCAGACGGGTTGGGGTGGCCTGATGTTCGCATTGTTATTTTGTCCTATAGCTCGCATCTAACAAAATCCACGAGAAACTGGGGGTTGACCTAATTCTTATCCTACTCTGCCGGAATCAAACAGCTAAGTTCTACGAGGATAAGTGTGGGCTTCCTTTCACCAAAGTCAAAGTCAAAGTCAAAATTTCTTTATTTGTTTAGACTAATAAATAGTTCTTACAAATCGTCATATGCTCTTAAGGAGCCTCTACATGTCTCATAATCTTTTTACCCTACCAGCGCTTCGAGACCAACATTTGGCAAGTGCTGAGAAGAAGCGCCGCAACAAACTCAGTCACCACTGTCTGCCGGTTAATATAAATAAATAGAAATAGTAGTAGTAGGTACATTCGATTCAGGAGCAGTTCACTGAATTTACCATGCATTCTTGTATGGTGTATCATAAGAATGGGTATACAAGATTGCGTGGTATATTAAACAAGGTAGTGACGTGCTAATATCTAGACTTACATTATTAAGAACACACCTTCACCATTATCACTTCACCTATTGGTTCACCACAACAGTCCGAACAGGGATCGAACCAACGTTCTGCGGACCTTGAGTCGACTAGTCCGTCACCTTTACCGATGGGCCATTGTCGCCTTTAAGGCTGAGTTGCACCACCTTATTTTAACCGGGAAGAACATGTGCCCCGATTACGCCAATTTTTAACGTCTCCAATACATACGCGTTTCTTCTCCAGTTGCGCTCCGTTTTTCATTCCAGCTGAGGTGCAAATTCGGTATCACTGTAATGGACGTACCTTCCTAGTATTTTCATTGTCACATGAGATATTTAGCTTTACGTTTACGTCTATGCTTCGTTTCAACTATGTAGTTGTCAAAACGACACCGCGCTACGGATTTTTCAAAACAGCTGATGTTCGTTCGTCGTCCAGGCGCGTTGAAGATGAGTAATTTTTAGCGTAATCGGGGCCCTGGATGCGGGCAGCGCAGTTCATTATGGAAAGCCTTGGGGGAGGCCTTTGTCCAGCATTGGACGTCATTTTGCTGAAACGGACCATAAATAAACTCTCTCTCACCTTCCTCCTCGCCAAGTACTGGTCGAGCCGCTCGCGGCAGGCGCGGAAGCAGTCGAGCAGCCCCCCCTGCGGCCGGTGCGCGGGCCCGAAGCGCGAGCCCCACCGCAGCGCCCCATTGCGCGAGCCCCCTCCGTACTCCTCCGCGAACGGATATACTTCTGGAAGAAACATTCCAAGGTTTAGCAGTTACTTTAAAAATGCGGCTACTTTTTCTATGAACTGCTCGCTAAACTTAAATTGAATATCTTGTGGATGATGCAAAAAGATCTGCTGTATTATCGCTCACTCTATAGTCTGGTCCGGAAGCACGTAGAATTTTGTCCAATGACCCCAAGCTACCCATCCTTATCGCTCGCGCGTAATTATGTTGTAGTCACGCTCGCACACTCACTGCGGGCGCCCGTCCCACAGTCGCGACAGCAATATAATTACGCGCGAGCGATAAGGATGGGTAGCTTGGGGTCATTGGACAAAATTCTACGTGCTCCCGGACCAGACTATAGTAGACGCACACTGGACAGTGACAGGATTTTATTCTACAACTAGCGGCCGCCCGCGATTTCGTACGCGTGGATCCTGTTTCACCCCCTTAGGGATTGAATTTTGCAAAATCCCGTCTTAGTGAGCACCTATGTTCTAAAAGGAACATCCATGCAAAATTTGCACTTGTAGTTTCTGAGATTTCATGATCAGTGAGTCAGTCTATTTCCTCGTAAATTAATTATATTCAGACAAACAGAGTATGTACCATTCTGCTACTTTGATATTAAGATCATGAATGATCCATGCAATATCCCCACCAACAGGTACTACCTAACTAATCATGTGTTCCATCAGGGAATCGAACCAATAACTTCCGAAGAGGATCCGTACCTGGCTGCTCATCGAGATGGTGTCGCGACGGATCAGGCGAGCTGAGCAGTCGCGTGGCCGACAACTGGTGCGCCGGCGCCCCGCTGGAAAGACAACACATTAGCCTCCTTTCTGCAGTCGGTTAAGGATCTTCGTAGCCATGGGCGTACCCAAGGGCATCCAGGGTCGCTTTGAAGGAACTAAGTCAAACTATCTGACCTAAGAAATCTGAATTTCCCGAAGGCCAGAAACTGGGAAGTCAACTCGGAAAGGGATCGTCGTCGCCTTTCGCCTCAACGTAACGTCGTAAGCAAATTGAGTATTGACTCGGCTACGGTAGTCTTCTTACGGCTCATCAAAGACCCTTAGGCCACGTTGAGATGATGAGGCCACAGCACAGCTGACACGTTTAGCATCGGCGGATTTGTTTAAAAAATCGGTGCAGCATTGCGATTTCACGACTTCATGCGTTGTATGCGTGCGGAGTACCATGCCCCGAGAATAAAATGCCTACATGACAATGTATTGTATTTTTTATTTCTTTATTTAGGGACTTTTATATACAGGGTGTTAGGTAAATGGGTATATGAGCCGGCACTAGCCCATGTTAACATGCGCATTTAAATGGTATGGTGAAGTCAGAAATTTTATATCATTATTTTAATTTTTTTAATTTTCATACAAAATAAATTTTATAAAATCCGATTTGTATGAAAATTAAAATAATTAAAATGAAGATATCAATTTTCTGACTTCACCATACCATTTTTATGACCATGTTAACATGGGCTAGTGTCGGCTCATATACCCATTTACCTAACACCCTGTAGATGTACGTCAGTCCCATCATAACCTAACAATTTATAAAGATAAAAGAAACTGGATAAAAAACAGATCAGATATTAATATATTGTAGTTGTAAACGCGCATTGAGCACTCATCATCCGAACAGGGCCTAAACGGACGGACGAGCCGTAAGTGCGGGAACGGCTAGCCGTATGTTAGATGATCACGCATGCACCGCGGATCGAGAGCTTATCCGCCGCGGCGAGGCGATTACGTTACGATTCCGATTGGTGTGCGTTACAGTGGGGAGGAGTTTCATACTGAGAATACTGAACGGCTCGAATTGATACGGTAACGATCCCTTTCCGAGTTGATAAGCATGCTTCGACCTTTTTAGATGACACGTGAGGCGTGTCAACTTAATTCAAAATTATGTTATCTGTGGCATGACGCGCTAGGTGAGTCATACATTTTTCAACTTACCCGAGGAAGTCGCGCGACTCTATAGAGTCCCATGACATGTTCCGCGGGTGGAGGCGGCAGGGTCACCTGGCCGTTGGGTGCATCGTCGCCTCTCGCTCGCACGTCGCGCAAGCTCACTGGAAAGAGCGAGACAAAATGTCAAATGTTTCCAACTAAATTCCGGTCGCCGAGTACGAAGAATATCATTTAATAGCCGCAGTAAGTGTGCGAGCGCGACAACAATATAATTACGCGCGAGCGATAAAGATGCGTAGCTTGGGGTCATTGGACGAAATTCTACGTGCTCGGCGACCGGACTTTACCTTATAAACCATATAATAATAATATTAAGCTCGCCTGTTGTACCACTGTATTTTTATGTGTGCAATAAAGATTTTAAATAAATAAATAAATAATACCATACCGTAAGGTAAACGGCTACTAGTTCGTGATAGTACGTAAGTTCGTAACTTTTTTTTCTAGCTCAAATAATAAGCAAATGGAATATTCTTTATACAAATTCTTTATTACTACAAAAACTCTGTTATTTAAGCTATCTAAAAAACCAAGTACCAACATTGTGGCGCCAAAAATGAGAGCAATACGAAGCTTCAAACTCTCAGAGAGCTAAAAACAGCCGTGCGGTGTGAAAATGTTGCTCTCACTGTAAGGTTAGCGCTCCAACTTCTTAAGCTTATAAAAAGGCGAAGAAACGTCCATTTGCATAAAACATGTAATAGTGGTTTCATGTGTTCCTTGACAATTGATTTGGCTTAGAAAAAAGTTATATGAAAACGTAGAATTCCTTTAAAATTGCGATTAATTGACTCACGAAATAGCGTACATATTATTTTTCGGGTGTCCCCTGTTTCGTGATACTACCGAATCAAGGATATTATGGATAATATTTTGATGCTTGGTTTTTAAATAATTATTTATGACTAGCGGCCGCCCGCGACTTCGTACGCGTGGATCCCGTTTTACCCCCTTCATCTATCTTACGCGGTTTAGATTTTTTCATACAAATGTTTTTTCCCGCTTACTCCCGTTCCCGTGGGAATTTTGCAATATCCTGTTGTAACTAAGCTTTAAGTTTACTAAGGTACCTGCATGCCAAATTTCAAGCGTCTAACTTAAGCGGTTTAGATTTTTCATACGAAAGGATTTTCCCGCTAATTCCCATTCCCGTGGGAGTTCCTAAGTATACTATAACCTGCCCAGGAGTATGAGGAATAATTGTACCAAGTTTCGTTAAAATCCGTCAAGCAGTTTTTGTTTCTATAAGGAACATACAGACAGACAGACAGACAGACAGACGGACAGACAGACAGACAGACAAAAATTTTACTGATTGCATTTTTGGCATCAGTATCGGTCACTAATCACCGTGAAGTGATAATTTTATAGTAAAAAATGCAACATAATAGTTTAAAATATTAAATAATACATGAATTTTACTTGGGGAATTTGGAATAATCACTATCACGAAACAAGGAACCGTAATTATTGTTACTTATTCCCAAGTTCGTGATATATAAATGTATAGTGTTAGGTACTTGTATGACACTAACATCAAATAAATCGACATGTTTTTTAGTTTTTAATACTTACCTACCTAAGTAATAAATAAATTAATTTTTATTATGAGTCATTGGCGTATATGGGGTTATTTTCAGGGGGGGGACTACCCTCACTTGAAGTAGCTCCAGGGGTAGGGGGTTAGTCGTCGTCCCCCCCCCCCACATTTTTTAAATTTAGACTTGCATGAATATTTTCACATATCGTTAGAAATAAAAAATCTAAATGTTATGGGTACGAAGGGGGGGGGGGGGTAAGGCCCCCCTAGATTTCTGATGGTTATATAAATATTTTCACATATTGTTAGAATAATAAATCAAAACTTTATACGAAGGTACGTACCTACCTAGCTAGACAGACTCACATTATTTCTCATGAATATTTCAGGTAAATAATATCGTCAATTTCACAGAATTCTTTTATTCTAAATTTATACTATCGTTTTTAAATTTATTAAACCCTTAATCATTATTAAAATATCCTAACTCGATGCGTAAGACTTTATCCCGAAATAGGGGACATGAGTTCACGAACTTAGAAACAGAGCAAAATTTTATCACGAAACAGGATCCAAACAAGAGGTCCGCAGAACAATTAATATTAAAAAAAGTTTAAACAATATAACTATAGTTTATGTATTAAGTTACTGTCAAAAGACCAAACTTTAGCATACAAAAGCTTTCATACTGATATCATCCTTGGTTATTTTTAAATAAATTGTTAAAGTCGTAAGAGCCTAAATATACCGAAGTAGGGGGCACTTACCTTATATTATGTTAAAAAGTTAATTGAAGTAGACGTTGAACAGTCTCATAGTAAATCCTTAAAATTACCACTTTGTTAGTAAACATTATGTTACTGAAACAATTTCTAATGTTATCTGGCTTAAGTCGGGCAGTTCATCAGTATGGGCATGTATGGAAGTGCGCACATTACGCGGATTGATTCTTCATACAAATTAGATCGGGCTCAACTATCGGCCGACTAAGGCTGGTTTTAGTGTCACGCGGACTGTCAGTGCGGATCGGGAGCGGGAGCGGTTCCTCCAGACCGCATTACTCTAAAACGCTCCCTAGAAGTTCATACAGATTGGCCGTGCGGAGCGGGTCCGCACCGGACGGTCCGCGTGACACTAAAACCAGCCTAAAAATCGGTGGTCTGCGCCTAAGCTAAATGTAACATTAATGTGCAAACTACTAAACTTACCTGGCCCAAACAAAACTTAAAACGGGGAGTCACCACGGGGTCCATTGCAGGAGTTGCGCACAGCTCATGGCGGGCTTAGGGGTGTGCCTGAACCGAAAATGATGAGGGTAGTAACGTATTTTGTAATTGGATGTGCTGATAGAACATTTTTAATTTCATTCATGGTAAAAAACATAAAGGTAAAGCAACCAAAAAGTTACAATAGAAGCGCATGAAATTGAGCAGCTAATAAAAAATAGTTATAAATACAATTATTTAAAAAATCGCAACTTTTAGTTGAGTCGGGCTTCGGTCGGGTTCTTTAAACAAATTAAATCGGGCCCAACTAAGTTAGTAAGTAACTAAGTTTTGTTTGTATAACTCCAANCCATGCTCTTAGTCAGATGGCTGACTAAAGGATAGTTGTTAGAGTATTATAACACCAACAATCGTATAAAAGTATAACTCTACACTAGTCTACACTCCTATAAGTCCCTTAGACAGGTATAGGTGTAATTAATTGCAATAATACAGCTTATACATCACGAGTGAACTGTACTAATGCTTTAAGTACACATTGGAACTAAATGTGAACTCTTAAATGGAGTAAAATGTTACTTGGGTAATTATTCATAATAACCGGTTATTATTAATAATTTTCAATTTATCACATTAACCGTAACATATACAACCCTTAGAATCTGTGTGGGTGGTAGAATCAACCCTTTTCATTTAAAAATTGCACCCTGTATATTGTATAGGAATTAATTTCGTTTTAACAGCCACCGTTGCAGTTTAGACGGCCACTAGCCTAGCCTATTAGCATAATATCATGCGAAGCTAATTTACCGCAGCCAATATTGACAACACCTGCACATCACTATATTACACTTTGACATTGTTAACCAAAGTCCACTTTGGGTCTACAAATTGCTGACACCAATAAAAAGGTAGCCATATCCCGAATGTACTCGGAAAAATATTTCCACATTTTGATTTATATTTTAATGTGAGCACATTTTTATGGGCTCCGGCTATATTCGATATCGCTATCGTCTGTATCTTTTAGATTAAAAATAAGTTAGAGGAGATATTTTTTATATAACTAAGCAGGTATTTAACCCCACTCTCACTTTATCATTCATAGATGCTATCTATACCTACTGTCTGGCAGGTAAGGTAACCTACCTTGAGAAGGCCCACATACGTATTATTCAGGACAAAACAGTAGAAAGACATTCAGGCTTGAAAAACAAGTCAAAGCATAAATAAATTGTATACATAATGTGAATATTATTGTCAGAAAAACTATTAGCAACCGAAAACTTATCCATAAAAATCTAAGAAAAGTTAAACCAAATGAAAAATCTAAAAAGCAAACTGTACGTTTTTTAAAAACTAATATTCGTTCAAGTGATACTATCTCGATCCAAACTTTATTCGCTTTCCAGAATCACATGAAATGTTTTCTGCTGCGAATGCAAAGACAGCGTTCTGAGAATAGGACTCTTATAGAGATATTTTATTCTCATTATTTAAATAAAAAGCGACAGATAATCCAAATTGGAGAGAGTCAGCGGTCAATAAATACGTATTAGGCATCACAAACTAAATCGGCATCATAAGAGCCAAAACACACGATGCGTTGCGGCAACGGTGCGATGCCGGAGCGGTGTCGCTGCGTCATCTAACATAGAAATATCCGTGGTGGGCACACGAGCGGTGCGGCACCGCGTCACGTCACACAATACGTCGAAATCTTCGCGGTGCGGCACCGCAACGCATCATGTGCCTTGGCTCTAAACCTGAGATGCGAAATCGAACCGCAGTTGCACTGGAAATAATCCAACTAGAACCGCGGTGTCATTTCGAACTAACAAACTAGAAATTTTCAAGTCGATATTTCCAACTTGATTCCTGGAAAAACGAGCAGAGGAAAATTCGCCGACTTGTTACTCCATCGACGGTTTTCTTATTGTGGAAACTTAAGGGGCACGCTCTCACTGGGAGGCTGTGGTTTGGTCATTTATAGCAAATAGTCATAATTAATTTAAATATTGGAAAACATTAACAAAACTGAACGACGATTTAGTTTATTTATTTTACTTTATTCGGAAAACAGTGTTATTTAACTTATGAAATAAGTATATTATTATGATAATAATAAGTAATCATGTGTTATATGCGATATCATTTAGTTCGTTGCTGTATTTCTTTTATGTTTCATTAGTATGTTGAAAATATCCCAAATCTAAGAAGTACCTATTTCGTTCGTTTCAGAACGAAATGTCTGGTT